AAGTTGAGCCGATGGCCATTTAGAGTTGCATTTGTTTCAACACTGAAAGCATTTGAAAAGAACATACAATTAGTTCGGCTACCTCAAAGCCAACTAGCAATTGCTCAGTTGGCTTTGGGAATTGGTTCCACTCCAGCATCCATTCTTGATGCAATCAGGAGTGGCGTTCGTTGGCCAAGTCCCTGTGCAGCTGGGCAACATTGTCTCGCACCCATCATCTTGGTCTCTCCCTTTTCTCAGGCAGGTGGAGAAGAAACTGCCCGAGCCAAGATGAACATTGTTCCAGGCTCCTGATTCCAGGGATACAGTTTGATAGGATATGCCCTTGTGGCAACTATGTTGACTTAGGGCTGGTGAATTTGTCCTTAGAGCAGGGATAAACAACTTCAGGAGAATGAAGAGCTGAGAACTTCATCAGTCTTGTGGAAGTTTCAGGTGAGTCCTCAGGTACCCTGTCTCTTCTTGTCAACGCTCCTGCTAATGCAACTGGTATATGCGTTCCTCCATCAGAAGTTCCTCAATCTTGGTGGAGAACTTTTCCTGGTGGAGAAGAAGATGAGGCACCCGGGTGTTTATCCCCAACCTCTGCTAAGAGAAGGTGTCAGGAGGAGTGGAGCTTTTGTTGAAGGATTATAACTTCCTGTCCAGGATGAAACTTTGGCAGCTACGTGCCTCTTCGTTTCGACTTGCCATTAGAGTAAGGGAGGGGGGAAGTGTTGCTTTCGAGGGGGTTAGATGGAGAAATGAAACTTTTACGATTCCACTGAAGAACCTGAAACCTTTTCAAGGACATCAGAACAGGTGTGGATTTGAAGCAGACGGTTCCCATAACAAAGTGAACTTGTTTATATGGACTGTTTAAGACGTTGTGGGTTTGGCTGGGAAAATTTATTAATTCTATGAATTGGGGTTTGGAAATCTCAGAGTGAGTTTTGCTTTGACATTACCATGCAGTGTATTCACTAAACAGTAAGATTTTCAGAGATGGAATGAACCTGGAGTTTTATTTGGATTCTCAAGCTGGACGTTGGCACTTCCATTTTTAAAATACATTCTCTCCCCAACTTATGATTTATCCCACTGCAGATAGTAAGACTAAGACCACAATACCTGAACAACAGTGTACTATGTGGAACCAAGGAAAAAGTTCCTGACAGTGAGAATAAGAGAATAACGGAGTTGGAAGGGATCTTGGAGGTCTTCTAGTCCAACCCCCTGCTCAAGCAGGAGTCCCTACACCATTTCTGACAAATGGTTGTCCAGTCTGGCTTCCTTCATGGACTTTGTTTGTCAGCAAGGTCGCAAAAGGAGATCACAATGACCCCGGGGAGACTGCCACCATCATAAATATGAGTCAGTTGCCAAGTATCCAAATTTTGATTATGTAATCATGGAGACGCTGCAACGGTCATAACTGTGGAAAATGGCCATTTTTTTTCCAGTGCTGTTGTAATGTCGAACGGTCACTAAATGAACTGATGTAAGTTCAGGACTATCCATCCAGTAGATCCTTGGGAAGGGGGATTTAGGGATGATTGCCATCAGGGCACAGATCACATTTTCCGATTCATTCATTTCCCTAAGGATTCCAAAACCTTATTTGTCTCCCTTTTCATTCTTGACAGCATAGTTTCCTTCTAAATCAGGCCAATTCAGATGCTTAGGCGGCAGAAAGCTATGCCTTTTGTTTAGTCAGGAGTTTTGCTCACCTCCTTCTTTCCTTAAGGCTACTAATAGTCATTCTTTATTTATCTTCCTAAATAAGACGGGTCTTGCCTCTTTACCTGCCGTTAGCAGAAAAGCTTCAGATTAATTTCTAATGCCCTGAGGCTCTGGGACCAGTTTCAGAAGGAATGGATAATGGCGTACAGCTCATTACTTCTATCAATCCCCCTTGTTCGTCTACCCTCTGAATTGTTTTAGGACATAGCCTTGAACCATACATACATCTTCTTTATCTTGCCCCCTTCTGAGGTGGGGAGAGAAGATGGGTTTTGCCAACAATGCAAAAAAAAAATCCCTTTTAAAGTTAATAGAAAATAATATTTGTAGCTCAGGATTGAACTGTGGGGTCCTTGGTGCTCTGTGAACTTGGTGGCTTTCTTGCAGATGTTTTCATGACCCAACTAGGTAACATTATCAGTGGTAGAAGAGTACTGGGGTTTGTGGAGTGGAGGGAGGAGGAGGAGGAGGAGCAGCAGCAGCAGCAGCAGCCTTGGTGCACTGTAAACTTGGTAGTTTTCTTGCAGACATTTCATTACCCAACTAGGTAATAACATCAGTGCTGTTATGGAGTACTAGTGATATCACCTAGTTAGGCAATGAAATATCTACATGAAAACCACCAAGCTCAGATAGTACCAAGGATCTCACAGTCCTCCTCTCCCCTCCCCCTCCCTCCCTTCCTCCTCCTCCTCCTCCCTGCAAACCCAACTCCCTTCTAGCACTGATGATGTTACCTACTTTGGTAATGAAACGTCTGCAAGAAAACCACCAAGCTCAAAACTACCAAGGACCCCACAGTCATTGTTGTCCTCCTCCTCCTCCTCCTCCTCCTCCTCCTCCTCCTCCTCCCCCCTCTCTGCAACCTGCCCTCCCTTCTAGCACTGATGATGTTACCTAGCTGGGTCATGAAACGTCTGCAAGAAAAAAAAACAAGTTAAGAGACCACCAAGGACCCCACAGCCCTCCTCTTCTTTCTCATGCTCCGACTCCTCCATTCCCCAAACCCTAACCCAAACCCCACTCCCTTCTAGCACTGCTGATGTTACCTAGTTGGGTCATGAAACGTCTGCAAGAAAACCACCAAGCTCAGAGCGCACCAAACACCCCACAGTTCAACCTCCAGCTACAAATATTCTCTTCTATCAGTATTTAAACCTCCTAATAACTTAAACGCTATTGGAGCACTGCAGCCAGGGTCTTAGCCTATCTGTGCTTTGGGATCCCCCCACAATGCCTAACCATTTCGTGGTGGCGTTTCTTGAACCCTTGCCTCGCTCTTTGGCTTACCAACCCAGAAACCTTTCCTTGGCCTTGTTTTGTTTTTTTGAGACAGCAAAATGCTTTTTTTTTTTTTTTTACAGCTTCTTCTTCTCCTCCTCCTCAAATCCTTCTCGATGCATTAACCCGTCTGCCCTTTGCACAAAGACTCTTCCCAGAGGGAAAAAAAAACTGAGCAAAAAGCTTTCAACTCGCTTTGACAAGAGAAAAGGGAGAAGAAGAAGAAGAAGAAGAAGAAGAAGAAGAAGAAGAAGAAGAAGAAGAAGAAGAAGAAGAAGAAGAAGAAGAAGAAGAAGAAGAAGAAGAAGAAGAAGAAGAAGAAGAAGAAGAAAGAAGAAGAAGAAGAAGAAGAAGAAGAAGAAGAAGAAGAAGAAGAAGAAGAAGAAGAAGAAGAAGAAGAAGAAGAAGAAGAAGAAGAAGAAGGGGAAACACCACTCTAACAAAGCTGTAAACAACAACAACAATAAATAAGGAGCAAAGTTTTGTACGCTCAAGCAAAAAAACAAACGAACAGAAAACTTCATATCCACACAGCCCACCCTCCATCTCTCTCCCTCCTTTATTGGTATTTAATTGAGGCCCCTGGCAAAGTGGCTTGTAAGGCAAAGTTCTCCCCTTGGAAAAAAACGAATGTCTTGGCCTGGTTAATGACTGCAATAAAGTAGAAGATAACAAATGCACTCAAAAGACCCTCATTCCCCCCCCCCCCCAGATCATATACTACATGGCTGTTTCTGGATCCGATAAGTAACTCGGTGAGTGTTTTTCCAGTAAATCTGAAAAGGATATTTGACTCCTAATTATGTAACCATAGCAGCAGCAGTAGCTCAATTGCTCTCTCTCTCTCTCTCTCTCTCTCTCTCTCTCTCTCTCTCTCTCTTTCTCTCTTCTCCCCCCACCATAAATTATATATCTGAAATGGAGAAAGCCTAGGAGCAAAACGGAAGGGGGGGGGATTTTGATCTGGAAAAATGTGTCATCTCCTTTCAATTCTAGAACTTAAAGCAAAGTCCTTTGGGCACAACGCTCTTATCTTGGGGAAAAGATAGATAGATAGATAGATAGATAGATAGATAGATAGATAGATAGATAGATAGATAGATAGATAGATAGATAGATAGGTAGGTAGGTAGGTAGGTAGGTAGGTAGGTAGGTAGGTAGGTAGGTAGGTAGGTAGGTAGATAGATAGATAGATAGATAGATAGATAGATAGATAGATAGATAGATAGATAGATAGATAGATAGATAGATAGATAGATAGATAGATTCCATTTGGTGGATTCTCATGCAAAAAAAAAAAAGTGGATCCCGTACGTAGGAAGTTTTGCCCAGCGTTCCTGACAGATATTCCAACTTGCCAGACCAACCTTATTATCCAACAACACCAGAACCTAGTTTTTTGAGAATTCCCTTAACGAAAAAGGAACTGTGGGATCCCTGTGAACTTTTCAGTGCCATGTTCCCGAAAAAGGAATCCTGTTGAATCCCACTCAAGTCTTCTGCTGTCTTTTGATGACCAACTGGCCCACATTGCTTGGGACCAGGTTATCTGAAGGACCGTCTTTTCCCAGTCGTATCTACCCAACCCACCAGAATGGTGAGGCAAGGAATGGTATGGGTCCTCTCTCCTAAGGAGGTCCATCTGGTGCAGGGGGTAGGCAACCTTGGCTCTTTGATGACTTATGGACTTCAATACCCAGAATTCCTGAACCCAGCTATGCTGACTCAGGAATTCTGGGAATTGGAGTCCGCAAGTCATGAAAGAGCCAAGGTTGCCTACCCCGGCTCTAGTGGGACCAAGAAGAAGGACCTTCTCCCTCTCTGTGGAACATCACACCTACAGAGATACGATTGGCCATATAATTTTTTTCTTATTCAATACATAATAAACTGAGAAAATCCTAAGCAGGGTATGGGAAGGACATAGCTCTCCCTTCCATAGTTAGTATGTGCTTAAATTAGACAGCCTTTGCTCCACTGATGCCAGCAGAACTTACATTGTAGAGGATATCGGTCCATCCTTCCATGGTGATGCATTGGAAGACGGTGAGCACGGCAAACAAGATATTGTCGAAGTTGGTGATGCCAAAGTTGGGGCCCTCCCAGTATTTTTTGCACGTGCCTTCTTCACAGCGCCTAGCGGGCCAGTCTTCACCGCACGGGAAGTCTCCCAGTCTCTCACCTGCAAGGAAAGCAAAAAAAAAAAATGTCATCAGAAAGGCTTCATATGACGTTCAACTAAGAAGAGATTGGACAACCATTTGCCTGAAATGGTACAGGGTTTCCTGCTTGAGCAGGGGGTTGGACTGGAAGACCTCCAAGGTCCCTTCCAGCTCTGTTGTTCTTCTGTTGTTCGCTGCCCACGTAAGAGTTATCTCATTAAGGCTGGTCTTCCCATCACCCACCTGTTTCGTTTGAAAAGCAAGCTTTGTGGAATTTGCCCATGTAGAATTCTAGACCGATAATGGCAAACATCACGATGGCAAAGAAGAGGAGAAGGCCGATCTGGAGAAGGGGTACCATTGCCTTCATGATGGATTTGAGGACAACTTGTAAACCTGGGCATGGAGAAGAAAAAAAAAAAAAGAATCAGTCCATGGAGGGTCTTAGCAAAGGGAGGGACCCAACAGAAAATATCTCAGGAAGGATAAAGACCTACTTCAAATATTGCTAACTTCTAGCCTAGCTTTCTGGGAATTTCCACCAGTTTGGGTTCAAATCCAGACTTTGACTTGGCTTTGCCCAGGCTGAATCATCACAAAGAAGGGTTCTGACTCCTCAAATGATATCCGCCCGCCCCTCAAGGAATATCCCAGCCATTTCTTGGCAGCTGTTCCTAGAATCTCAGAAAACTTTAGGGAAGCTGACAAGTTGATGACAATTTAGCGACTTCTAAGTGATGGAAATACTGTGAATACTTGGGCCACCAAATGAGAAGAGAGAACTCTTTGGAGAAGGTTGGGAAAGAAGGAAGGCCAAAGGAGAAGGGGACGGCAGAGGATGAGATGGTTAGATAGAGTTATTGAGGCAGTGAACATGAATTTGGGCAAACTCCAGGAGAAAGTGGAAGACAGAGGGGGCTGTCGTGCTGTGGTCCATGGGGTCACGAGTTGGACATGAGTTAGCAAGTGAGCAACAAGACTGATTCAGATAGGATGGTGGGGGCATCCCTTAACTGCGGCTGTTGTAGGAAAAGCAACCGAAGCAACAGCTGAAAGAGAAAGGAATAACACCCAAAGTTCTACAAAATTGAAGCACCCGGTCCTAATCGTCCTCATGTACCCTACTTAATTTTGGTTTGTCTTCACTTTTCTTGGGCTATCTCCAAAAGAGACATCAGTCAGTGGAAGCACCAGTCAAATCTCATGACATATCAATTCAGTTGAACGGAGGGAGACAAGGGGGTTCAATAATCTTAGGCAGGTGATGAGACCCGCCCTTCTTGAGCCAAGAAAGTTATGTCCATTAGAAAGAGAGGAGGGTGCAAAGTATCGTGAGAGTTGGAAACTAACTTATAGCACCCCGGAACGTTCTTCCACTTACTTGGAATTCCTGAGACAAGTTTCAGGGGTCTCAGCACACGGACGGCTCTCAGCGTTCGAAGGTCAAACTGGGTCCCAGCTGTAGCCAGAATCCTACCAAGAGAAAGAGAGAAAGAGAGAGGGAAAAATAGCATTAGTGTAGCAGAAGGAGAGGTGGAGTCAAGAGAGTAATCAGCCTAGAGTCATTACGTTGCCACAAACGGACTAAGTGAATTCTATTGGTTCTTAGGTAGCACCAATTTAGTGCTGACTATTAGGTGGCTAGATTCCTGGGTATAGCCATGAGCAATAAATCAGCTTAACTGGAACTTAAAGTGTGGCCCCGATTCTCTCGTACATGACAATTAGAGTATCAGCTTTTGGGACTAAATTTCTTGCATCTATCTACAATGCAAAAAGGGCCCACAAGCCTTTTTCTGCTCACATCCCAAGGATCTTGTCTCCAACTCATATCCAGTCCAGAAGTGATACAGGCAGGTTGGGGAAAGCAATTTGAAACAGTAACAACCATTTGCTCCAAGAAAACTCATCTCAAACTTGCACCAAGACATGTTCCTTGTAGTCATCAACTTTAACTGCTCGTTTGTAAAACAGGGCAGGGCTGTAGGAGAAGGAAGGGCAGAAACTGGGGGTGGAGTCAAAAGGGGAATCAGCTTAGAATCCCTGCGCAGCCACAAGTGAATTAAGTCCAGCCTTTCTTGAAATTCCCTGGATCCATGTCTAACTCCAAGCATCTGCCAGCCATTAGTTGAGAAGGTTACTTTGCATAGGCTGTTTAGAAGTAAATTGGTTTAATTGGACCTTTATGGATGGACCTGGTCCTTTGTGACTGACAGTGGCTGGCAGCAACCAAAACATCCATGGTCCAGATGTTTCTCAGCAAACGTCCCCATCTCTGAGCCAATAAGTCTCAGATGGCCTTGGAGGGTGACACTATTGGGCATGAAAAACCAATAAAGGTAGGGTTGAAATGAGGGGTCCTTGGTGCTCTCTGAGCTTGCTTGTTTTCTTGCAGACATTTCATGATCCAACTAGGTAACACCATCAGTGCTAAATAACATCACACAAGAGATGGTTGGGTAATGAAGTCTGCAAGAAAACAACCACGATCAAGAGCAAAAGACCAGGTCCTTGCACTCAACTTTAAACATATTCATCCACCGAGCTAATTTTTATGGTCTCAGCAGGTAACTGCAACCTCATCTGAACTCGGAAGCTAAAGAGCCTTGAGCCTTGAATGAGACGCCACCAGGAAATCTCGGAAGGTAGAATACACGGGAACCTCAAAAACAAATCTGGCAAAACGTTCCTCGGTTGTTGCCAAGAACACAACGCGGGCACATCCATCAAGGCAGCAGGAGTGGAATTCTGACTCAAAGGAGACTTTATCTTTATCTTTATGAAAAAAAAATAATGAATCAACCGCATTTCCCATCATTGGCAAAGAGTTCAGAAGCCATCAATCCAGCAATGGGAAAAAGATGTTGCTGGGGAATAAAATTAGAAGTTGTAAATTGCTGGAGGGAAGGGCTGAGGAAACCGGTCCAAGCTGTATTTGGACTCTGTTTATTAACTGCTGTCAAAGGTGTAGATCAAAGTGACAACTTGGGAGGTGTGAAATATAAAGCCGCCTTTTATATCGCAAGGCCTCTTCTCTTCAATATTAAAATATTATTTTAAAAGGCGGCGAGGAAATGCGTTGGCAGTCAAAGGAAGAAAGCCTGTCACGTCTAGTTGGATGTTTTTGTTCGCAAAAGGGAATAAGAAAAGGACGGCAAATTTGTCACAAGCGACAAGCCCACTTGGAAATAGACCTTATTCTCTCCTGGACTTCACTGAACTGATGGGGTGTCAGGAGCACAGAAAGACGCTCCTGCACGAAACATTTCTGAGATTTAGAAGAGAGGCAAGGTATTGGAAGAGACAGGATTCAAAGGGGGGAAAAACGGTTTACAGAGATGAGAAGGAAATAGATTACGGCAAACGTCTGAACGGTGACATTAAAACTGTGACGCGATGGAGTGTTCTTGCACTTTTGTCTTGGAGTTATTTGATTTAGATCTGTATCTGTCTAATATTTCCAGACTCCAAGGGACTTAACAAGCAATTTTAAAGAAGGCAAATAATTAAAGATCCGAAACAAACAAATAAGAGAATAATTATCTGACAACAAAGCCAGGTTGTGGGGTCCTGGGGGGGGGGTGACTCCGAGCTTGGGGGTTTACTTGCAGACGTGCCATTACCAAACTAGGTAACACCATCAGTGCATTGATGGTTTTATCTCGTTTTATTATTATTTATTAAATTTTCATGCTGCCCATCTTCCCTATAAGATGACTCATCACCTAATTTGGTAATGAAACGGCTGCAAGAAAACCACCTAGCTCAGAGAGCACAGTTCTCTTCCTCCTCCTCCTCCTCCTCCTCCTCCTCCTCCTCCTCCTCCTCCTCCCCCTCCTCTTTGCAAACCCCACTCCCTTCTAATGCTGATGTTACCTAATTGGGTAATGAAATGTTGCTCTTCTCTGAATTTTTTCCAAACTCTCAACATCTTTTTTGTGATATGGGGACCAAAATCGGCTGCAGTATTATTCCAGGTGTGGTCTTACTAGGGCTTTATAAAGCGGTAATAATACTTTGCGTGATCTTGATTTTATGCCTCTGTTTATATAACCCAGGATTGTATTATCTTTTTGGGTTGCTGCTGCACACGGCTGGCTCATAGTCAAGTGATTGTCTACTAGGACTCCAAGGTCCCTCTCACAGTTACTGTTTTTAAGCCAGGTCTCACCCAATCTGTACTCGTACCTTTGGTTTTTCCTGCCTAAATGTAAAATGTAATATCTTCCAATCATTCCTGCAATTAGCTAAAGGATCATCTCTCTCTCTCTCTCTCTCTCTTTGCTCAAGGCGATGCATTCCTGCCAGGGCTGAATTCTCGACAAATTCTCTCCCCTGTCTGCACTGATTATTTTTTTATTTTACTCTCCACCATGGCTACGTTCTAAGGCAGATTTTTTCAATCTCGAATTGTGCTTTGCACACTGAGCAAAGCTTCTGGAATGCCACCCAGATCTTCCTTTTGTCACTCCAGGAGAGCTACATGAACCTCTCCGGGATTGTGAAGGTTTTTTTTAAAAAAAGAAAAATCAGGACAACTTGTGAAGCTCTTGTTCTGAAAGAAAAGGTCATTTCCCCCAAATTCTTAGCAATGCTCTCGTGCAAAAGAGAGAGAGAGAGAGAGAGAGAGAGAGAGAGAGAGAGAGAGAGAGAAATGAGGACAATTAACCAATGGAACAGCTTGCCTCCAGAAGTTGGGAGTGCTCCATCACTGGAGATTTTTAAAAAAAGACTAGACAGTCACTCATCTGAGATGGTATAGGTTCTCCTGCTTAAGCGGGGGCTGGACTAGAAGATCTCCAAGGTCCCTTCCAGCTCTATTCTATTCTATTCTATTCTATTCTATTCTATTCTATTCTATTCTATTCTATTGGAATTCTCCTGTTTTTAAGGGTAAATGTGTCTTCACCATTACAATTGTGAAGGGCTGAGCAAAAGGTGAAATTTCATGAAGCATCAGTTTCCCAGCATTGCAAGCAAGCGGAAAAGCCGAAGCCAAATCTGAGACTAATTCAAACAATGTGGCAGAACGGAGAGAAAATACCAGGAAAAAGGAAGTCCCCAAATCAAGAGACAGGTGTCTGCTTGATTGGTTGCAGAATCTCCGTTCCCCTGTATGCTATCCTGACATTTGCTTTGTTACTGTCTCTGCCGCCAGCTTACGATGATCAGCGAGATTTCTCTCTTTCGGTAACCCTTGGAAACAGCCAGGAAGGGGAAAGGGATCCATAGCTTACGGGCGGGCACACGTTCAGCCAATATGGTTTGTGCAACATGGCTTGTCGATGCCCATGGATGCTCCTGGAGGGGGGGGGGTTGGGTCAAAAAGGTAGAATAGGTGGAAAGGAGTAGAAGGCAGTTTTGAGATGGATGGTTGGATGGATGGGGAGGGAGGAAGGAAGGAAGGAAGGAAGGAAGGAAGGAAGGAAGGAAGGAAGGAAGGAAGGAAGGAAGGAAGGACAGGGAGGGAGGGAGGGAGGAAGGAAGGAAGGAAGGAAGGAAGGAAGAAAGGAAGGAAGGAAGGAAGGAGAGGGAGGCAGGGAGAAAGGAAGGGAGGGAGGGAGGGAGGAAGGAAGGAAGGAGGAGGAGGGAGGGAGGAACAAAGAGAGGGAGGGAGGGAAGGAGGGAAGGAGGGAAGGAGGAAGGAATTTCCTGTGAGTGAGAACAACTAATCAGTGGAAAGGCTTGTCTTCAAAAGTTATGCGTGGTCCATCACTAAAGAAATTTAAGAAAAATTGGACAACCGTTTGTCCATATAGGGTCTCCTGCTTGAGCAGGGGGTTGGACTAGAAGACCTCCAAGGTCCCTTCCAGCTCTGTTACCCTGGATCCTGTAGCTACATCAATGGACTTTCTGCAAACACATGGATGCAACGGTGATAAATGGCTGCTTCTCTTCTTAGTATTCATGGACAATTGGAAAGAGAACCACCAGGTGCTCTGCCAAATCTCCTCACAATCTCTCTAGGAGGAACCCATGACCAGCTGGCCAAATAGACAAAGGTCACCAGCTCGCCTCCTCTCTTGGGAAGAAAGGCTTCCTCCGAGCGTGGATCTGCTCTTCTTCCTCAACTGAGCCAGGCCCAAAGCAAAGAGAATTGGCACACCATCCCTCTTCTAGCAGCGTTGACGAAGTCATCGAGGTGAGGGGAAGCAATCCAAGGAAATTAGGAAGACTACCATGCCACCCAAGTCAGCTTGACTTCTCATCTTACACAAGCAGCCAAGCTCTGCTTCAAGGTGAGGCACATTGCTGCCAAGTTATTTGCTTCCTTATTTTCCAGAGTGATTCACCGCAGGCTTCCCTCTCTTTGGTTCAGCTCAGCTCAGCTCAGTCCTCCGAGTAGCAGAGTAACAGAATAATTGAGTTGGAAGGGACCTTGGAGGTCTTCTAGTCCAACCCTATCTGCTCAAGCAGGAAGCCCTATCCTATTCCAGACAGATGGCTGTCCAATCTCTTCTTGAAAACCTCCA